AGCATATTATATTAAACGCTGAGCTATGCAGGCTTGTTCCCCGCCAGGGGTGCTGATGAAGCACAGGCGGAGTCGGAACTGCAGTCTAATTTAGCTTGAAGGAGAATACCTTTTGGCAGGTGAGGCTAAGTGAAAGTCAATGACATCGTTAAGCCTACTCATATCATTGTTGGAAAATTCCACTATTTTTTTCTTTTAAAGTAGGCTTTCAAGACCTCCAGGTGTATTCACTGTATTTTTTTTACGGTTATGAGTGACCATTGGTAGGAGTTTCTCATTGATTTGAGTATACTTCATACTTCCATTGAATTTTATATAGTCTTGCTTCTCCAACAGTATTCTCATCCATAGAAGACTGCAGTTTCGACCTTGCCTAGGTCTCATCGGCACCCGCAGCGAAACTCAGACCTGGATCAAGTTATTGTGATGTATATTCTCGACACGTTAACGACTAGACCACACAACCACGAACAACCTTGGGCCACTATGATTTGAGTCCCGCTGGGGTCGCCGATGATACCTAGGCGAGGTTAAAACTGCAGTCCAGTCTGGATAAGAATACCTTTATAAAGTCAGGCCATGTGAAATGTAATGGAAAGGTGAGTTCTACTCATCATTGTAGAAAAATCAAACCATTAGTCCTTCATTACCTTAATTAAAGAGGACTGCTTCATGATCATATGCAACTTTGCGGAAATTAAGCTTTATTTACCTTTATCTTCCTAGCATTGTCAGGCTTCTATCTGAGCTGAGAGAAGTGATAGAATAAGGTCCGAATAGCCTTATAAACTCATTTAGAGCCTTTTTTCTTTGAAATTGATCATTATTTCTGGGCTCTACGCATAACTATCTGTTTGGTGTTTTCTCATGACTTTATTTTACCTTGAGAGTAATTCACATGTCACGCTTATCCTCCCAGGTAACCTATCTGTTAGGTTACCTGAATAGTAAAAGTTCGCCATTTGTCGCTTAGCCTTTTAGGCGTAAACCTTATTCTCAGATTAGGAATTCTTCTCTAAACCTACTTCTATAAAAAATGAGATTTTATTCTGAAGTTCAGTCTGATTTTTTATGTATTATAGCAATGCTCTTACATCCATATGGACTAAAATATAAACTTCATCTTTGTTGGACTACTCTTCTCATTAGGACTAGTATCAAAAACGTTTGGTTTTAGGGACGGAATGGTTATCGCTAAACCGCTAACCCATCTAGGCTTCTGGGGCTCTAGCAATTTTTGACAAATGCGTGCTCTCCAGATTGAACGAGATCAATCTGTTCCACATCTACTTAAAGGTCGGATGAATTTATCGTCTCGCTCAGCTGAATCTTATTTTCCAATTTTGCCTAAAATGAGTCCAATCATCATATTTCCTGGCCAGGTAAAATCGGAAGTACACGCAGTGCTAACATTTTAGCCCTCAGTGGAGATATTTGTTATTGAAATAGGTCACTTAATCACACGTCTACCTTTTTGGGAAGCAGGGATTTTTTCGCTTGATGGGAAGTTAAAAGAAGGCAAGGCATATTCCATATCTCACTTTCATTGGGAATGTCGATAAAGTGAACTTTAATCTTTCCATTACAATCAACCGCGTTACTTATATTCATGGAAAGTGAATTTCGAGACTATCATAATATAGTTTATGTTGTCGATTTTAATGGCAAGATACAAGTTTGCCCCATCGAAATTCCCATTATAACTTTGAGGTGAAACAATCCTGTCATCGTAATCGTGTGGTGTAGTGGTGTCATGCTGAAATTTTACCCTTGACTATCCGGGTTCTATTCCCGCTGGTGGTGCTAGTAGAAAACAAGTGAAGTAGAAACGGTAGTCTAGTCCAGCCGAAATGAAAGTACCCTTTGGTAGGCAAAGCTAAGGGAAATTCAATGGTGCCGTAAAGCTTACTCATATGGTTGTGTGATAATTTAATTATCAGACCTTCATCACCTAATACGACCTAAAGTGACTAGAAGTCATATATTTAAAGAAGGCATATATACATAAATGAGCTGCTACTGTTGATAGGGTGATAGGAGTTTTAAAAAATACTAATTCTCATAATGAATATGCAATTTTGGTCACTAGGACTAAATGAAAAAGCGTTATTTTCTGAAAGGTGACTCATAAATACTTGTTATTTTCTGAGAGCATGCCTTGTCATATCGTCGGTGGCGTGCTTTTTCTTTTACTTATCGAGTTGGAATTCAGCTTAAAGTTAAAAGAATACTCCGATGAGACCAAACACGAAACTTCAGCTTGGATATGAACACTTGGGCTAAAAAGTGAAATTTATTAAGAAGGTAATCTTGATTTGTATATATTTTTCTATATCAATCTAAGGTATAAAGACCACGATGGTGAGGCCTTTTGTGTGGTCTCAGTCTCATTTTGTTGTATAGAGGTTGTTTGAATTTGTTTTCGCAACTTGGTCATAGTGGTAGGAAAACTTAGAGGAACGCACCTAGTCCATTGCATGAATGATCATTTCCAAAGTCGGACCGTGGACGTGGTACATTCCCAAACATTTCGCCGGCATCGTCAGTGAGTATCACCAGTCTTAGCACCACACAACCCGTCAAAGAGACAAGTGAAGCCGATTCTTTGACCAAACGTGTGCTAAACAGTTGTGGTATCTCTCCTTCCGCCCTGAGCTATTCACATTTCCCATATCTTCCTATCACGCCTTTACTGTTACAATTTTTACCGTGCTTATTTCTATGTAGTGTGGTGTGCTCTTTTGAGCGGTATTCGTGGAAACCTTCCACACCCCACGCTGGCGTTCTCACGCCCCTTCAGCCCTGTGCTGGGAATGTTGATCAGAGTCTGTCATATTGTTACGCAGTCCTCCTTTCCTAGGTCTTACCACAGTCTCTCTCGCCCCGTAAGATCCGTCTGCTCTCTCCCTGATTCACGTATATTACTCGACCCCTGCCACCCCATATGTGCTACTCGAGGCTTTATTCGCCCTCTTCTGCGTCTGGGTGACTAACTCGAGGCTAAAGCCTCTAAGTAAGTCTCATGGTCAAGCTTTGCTACATGTACCACATCTCTGGTATAAACCTACTGTCACCCAACTAGCTTTAGTCTCCGCCGCGTCTATCCTGTCTCTATCCCTAATACCAAGTCTTTGACTTGCTATGCCTTAGTCTCTTGTCTGTTAACCCACAAATGTTGTGGTACAGCTTGCTTCGATTGGGTTCAATATTGAACCACAACGTTTGTAGGTTGGC